TCAACACAAGGATACTGGTGGCTGTCCTCTCAGCTCTCTTCCCAGAGCCACCAACCTGAGACTCTTCTCACACTGTTCTAGTCTACTCTGCCCTCTCTCTGCCAGAGCCTAAGGTGTCTGCACACACGATTTAGTGTGTTGGCCCTTTAAGAGGCTGCCTGTGATTCTTGCCATCTCTTCCTGCTGGACAGAATCCTCAGTGCTTTTCACAGCCAGATGTTATGTGGGCACGTTTCCTGGTTCTGTTATTAGTACCGGGGAGCCCAGCTTTGGATTTAGTCCCCAGGGTTCTCAGTGGGAACCCCCCACAACTGAGATATCCTTCCAGAACTTCAGCTGCTGCCTGTGAGCCCGGCCAGCCCTCTTGTGTCTCCTCACTTCCTACCAGTCCCCATGTGGCCTCCATTTTATGTGCTTTTTTATAAGGGTTCTCTCCAGCCAGCCTTCAATTGATTATTCAGGACGATTTATCTGTATTTTAGTTGTAATTCCAAATTGGTCCTGGGAGAATGTCAGTGTAGCTTTCACTTAATCATTCACCATTTTGGAATCCCCCTACGAATACTTCTTCTAGAAGCTGAAGTCCTTTGGGGTTCAAAATCAGTGATAGAGTGTAGATAGGGGTAGGTGCCATATCATACTATGGTTCTCTCCTTTATCTTGCATTCCCAGTTATCTCTGCCATTTTTTTTTCTTTTTTGCTGCTCAGATTTGGTGTGTTCTGCTACCTTGTCTTCCAAATCACTGATTTGATCCTCTGTTTCATCCAACCGTCTGTTTATTCCTTCTAGTGAATTTTTCATTTCAGAAACTGTATTCTTCGTTTCTGACTGGTTCTTCTTTATGGTTTTTATGTCCTTTTTCATGTTGTTGAAGTTTTCATTAGGTTCCTTGAACATTCTAATAACCATTTTATTTTTAACTCTATATCTGGTAATTCCTTGCCTCCATTCCATTTTTCTCTTTTTTTGGAGATGTCTCCTGTTCTTTCATTTGGGGCATGTGTCTTTGTGTCCCCATTTTATTTATTTTTTTAAAATATATTTTATTGATTTTTTACAGAGAGGAAGGGAGAGAGATAGAGAGCTAGAAACATCGATGAGAGAGAAACATCAATCAGCTGCCTCCTGCACATCTCCCACTGGGGATGTGCCCGCAACCCAGGTACATGCCCTTGACCGGAATCGAACCCGGGAACCTTCAGTCCGCAGGCCGACGCTCTATCCACTGAGCCAAACCGGTTTTGGCTTTGTGTCCCCATTTTAGCTGCCTCTTTGTGTTTGTTTCTATGTATTAGGCAGAGCTTCTGTGTTTCCCACTCTTGGCAAGGTGGCTTTATGTAGGAAGTTTCATTTGGGACCCGTGGCACAGTCTCCTTGATCACCTGAGCTGGGTGCTTCAGGAATTTCCCGTGTGTGTGTTTTGTGGGTGCTCCCTTTTTTAATTGAGTCTTGATTGCTATTGGCTCATTCATGCATGGGTTTGACCTTCAGAGTGACTGAGTGTTAGGGTTAGCCCCGACCACAGTGTACAAACTGCTGTGCAGGTGCTGACCAAACCAAGTGGAATTTATCTCAGCAGGGGCTGGTGCCTGCTGAAATTTCTTTTCAATATGCCATTTATGAAGCTAATTGGACCCTGCCCTGATGTTGTCTGAAGTTGGTCATTGTCTTACTGTTTCTGGGTCCTCTTGGGAGGGATTCTGGTGCAGATCAATATCAGTAAACTGCTTGTGACTGGCTCTGAGTAGCCTGTTTGATGCTACAAAGCAGTCCACAGTTTGTGGGTGCCTCGGCTGGGCCTGTGTGTGCATTGGAAGGACCAAGCTGAGTCACCAGGTAGGGGCGAGTTGTGTTCACCAGATTAATAGTGGTTCAAATTCAGTGCCAGTGCTTGGTTTGAGACCACTCAGAAAAGTCACAGGGTATACCAAGTCTAGCTGCCACCACCCGGGTGCCATCAGACCTTTGTGGTTGGATAGGGTCTCAGAGTCATCAGGGTGAGTCCTACAGAGTTTATCAGGTCCAAAGAGAACAAGATTTGGCTGTGTAAAGGGAAGGTTCTGCACTGGTTCTATGTGTAAGGGAAAAATTTCCCCCATCCTAAAGCCACAAAACTGAATCTGCCCCAGATTCTGCCAATAGCCCAAGCTTACCAGGCAGGACTATTGGGAATCATGAGGGTGGAACTAGTAGACCTCCTGTGAGGGCGTGGCACTGGTCAGTCTCGTGGGAAGGTTGGGGTAGTGGCCCCGACCCCAGAGCCACACTATTCAGTCTGTCTCGGATTATTCCTAGAACTCCTGGGGAACCCATGCTCAGCAGGGCAGTGTACACAGGATTAGGAAGGGTAGGGCCACCCAGAGTCTAAAGTGTGGGGCTAGAGTATCTCCTGTGAGGGTTAGGCACCTGTCCAGTTCACCAGAAAGCGTGCGTAATTGGGCTCCACCTCAAAGCCACAAAACTCACTCACTTACAGCCTGAGTCTGCCCAGACCTCTACACCCCAACCTTGGCAGTTGACACTTCAACAAGGTGATGCTCCACAGGGTGGGGCAACAGAGTGTCCAGAGGCTAGGGCTATGCATTACCCTAGGGCAGTGGTCAGCAAACTGTGTCTCACGAGCCATATGCGGCTCTTTGGCCCCTTGAGTATGGCTCTTCCACAAAATACCGACTTCTGCGCGTGGGCCATGAAGTTTCATTCGCACTATACATGTGCACTCGCACGTGGTATTCTGTGGAAGAGCCACACTCAAGGGGCCAAAGAGCCGCATGTGGCTCACGAGCCGCAGTTTGCTGACCACTGCCCTAGGCTGATGTCCTAAGGAAGGAAGTGCTCCACCCAAGAGAGATGCTATCTGTGGTGTGGGAGATAGACTCAGCACAGGCATTCTGGCGGCTGGCCCTTCAGGTCTCTCCCCAGAGCCACAAAACCCAGTCTCTTCCTCACTGGAATCTAGTCTGCTCTGCCCTCCCTCAGCTGGAGCCCAAGGTGAGTGGCTGTGAATGAGATTTCGTGCATTGGCCCTTTAGAGTGCACCTGTGTCCGTAGCAGACTCCGAATCTCCCTGGTGGACATAATCCCCACCGAATTTCACAGCTAGATATATGTGGTTGCCTCTTCCTGGCTCTGGTTCTCTGGGATGGGAAGCCTGGCTTGTGGTTCAGACACCATACTCCTCAGGGGTAACTTTGCAGGTGAGATATCCCTCCAAAATCTCAGCCTATGCCCATGGGAGCGGGGGGTGGGGGGGCAGCCCTTTACACATCTCTGCCCTTTCTACCTGTTTTGATGTGGCTTCGTCTGTAAATTCTTGGGTATAATACATCTGTTTAGCTATTCTTCAGTTGGTTAGTCAGGTTGATTGTTCTATAATTTAGTTGTAATTCCAGTTTGGTCCTAGGAGGTGGTGTGTGTGACTCCCATCTACTCTGCCTCCATCTTGGATTGGGCTATATTCCATTTGTTTTAAAACACTATGTGTGAATGTATATAATCTTATATACTAAAAGCCTAATATGCTAAGTGTCCGGTCGTCTGGTCGTTTGTTCAACCAATCAAAGCGTAATACGCTAATGATATGCTAAGGCCTCTCAACCAGTTGCTATGACATGCACTGACCACCAGGGGGCAGACGCTCCAACTGGTAGGTTAGCTTTCTGCTGGGGTCTGGCTGATCAGGACTGAGTGAGATGGCCTGGACACACCCTGGAGCCCTCCCACGGTCCCTCCCTGGCTGGCCAACCTCCTGTGTCCCTCCCCAGCCCTGATTGTGCCACCGGTGGGGTCTTTTGGCCTGGCCTGTGCCCTCTTGCAATCCAGGACCCCTCGGGGGATGTCAGAGAGCTGGTTACGGTCCAATCCCGCAGGCTAGGCCGAGGGACCCCACTGGTGCACGAATTCATGCACCAGGCCTGTAGTGTACATATAAGAGTAAAAATTCAGTAAGAATATACACACAACAATGAACAAAGCTTATGCTGGGGGGAAGAAGAGTACTTTCTTTATACCAGTGGATTGATTTATTTTTCTTAAATGTAGCATGTACTTAGCAAAAATAATAAAAATATTTCTACTTAATGGAAGAAAACATAGTTTAAAAAAATTTGTTTATAGAAATTGTAATTCTGGAAAGCTCCACAAAACATCTTTAAAACTTGAATAATCAATAGCTGTTGAAATTACCTTAACCATAAGGAACATAAGGATGGAAGAACAGAAAGAAGGAGTCAGATTTTCAAACAGGAGGAGATGTAAATGAAAGTGTAACAGCAGCTTCAGGAATTCAGTCAGCAACCTAGCCTCTGCTTTAGTGTTTGTAGTTCATTTTCTATTTCATGTTTCTGCAAAAAAAGAGTATTGTTCTCTGTAGAAATACATTGATGCTTTTTCTTTATGCATTGAAAAAGCAACAAAAATTTAAACAGAAGCATTAACTTTGTAGCATGTTAAAATCTTCTTTTCTCAGTCAGCTGTTTATTATCTCAAACTGTCTTTCCCAAACTCCTCTTAAATTGGCTTTGTTTTAAATTCACAATGTGAATGCTAACTATAAAGTTTTTAAGACTTTATTTTTAGAACAGTTTTAGGTTTATAATAAAATTAAGGTGAAGGTACAGAGATTTCCAGTACAACTCCTGCTCCCACATATGCATAGCCTCCTCTGATCCCCTGCTAAACTGGTACATTTGTTACAGTTGATGAACCTACATTGACACATAATTATCACCCAAAGTTCATAGTTTACATTAGAATCCACTCTTGGTGTTATACTAACTATATATATATATATTTTTTTAGCCTTTTACATGAGGCAAACAACATTTCACACAAGATTTAGAAAATGGGGCTTTGTGTTATATCATCTAGAAATTCATTCATGCATTTTCTGTTGATTCTAACTTGCGTGTTAATATAAAATACCTGACATATATTTTTAATACTTCTTATTTTAACTCTTAAAAATAGGTCATTTGTCTCACTTTTTGTTTTAATTAGGTCACCGGGAAAAAGGCATATGCTACAAGTCAGAAAATGTATGAAGCAGTTAAATCATTGTGGACAAAAGACAACAAAAAAGAGTCACTTCCTGAACCTAAAGAAAAAATTAAGGTTGAGTTTAAAGGGACCAAACAGTTTTGTTTGGGTGGGTGTTGGCTTGTACTGGGAGTCCTGGACAGAGGTCAAGAACAGAATTAGAAAAAGATGAAGGAACATAATACCTTTGCATGCTATACTTTTATAAGATATTTTATTCTTTTAGTAAAATGATTTACTCATGAGGAAAACCTTTTTGCTAAACAGCCAGAAAACTCTGCTGAAACAGAAATACCTGCAAAAACAGCTCATGACCCGAAGCACTCAGTGGGTTTGCCAACAGAACTCAGATCTGAAATGAAGACAAAATCAGAATTCACCTCAGGTTTGTTTGGATAACTCAATTTTGTTTTTATTATTTCTTTAAAAATGTTATGATTATATAATTATTAGTTTGAACTTATTTATGTTTTTCCGTATTTTTCTTTCTCATATCTGTAGTCTGTATATATTTTTAGGGTATGAGGTATTCAGGTACCTGGGATTTTTCTTATTGCGACAGATAGTTCACAATACAGAGCTGTTCACTGGGGGTATAGAGTTGCACTGGCGGGTTGGATGAGTGAAGCATTGAATATCACTTTATAAATGTGGGCTTTTTAATCAGGTGGAGTAAAATGTGCTTTTCTTCACTCTGTCGATTTACAGGCTATAAATATGAGCCACATCTACATAGAAGGAATATCAGCTTTCCATTTCTTATGTTATTTATCCCATCAGCAGTCTTGGCTTCCACCATCAGTTTTATTTAGTTTAGATACTGGGAGAACTTTCAACATCAAATTGTAAAAATAGCACCAATTATAATACTAATAACTTTGCTAGTATTAGATAATGACAAGTAGTACTTTGTAGTACGAGTTAGTGACAATTATACTTTCTACGCAAATACTATAATAGTTTTACTGTGATCAATAAGAAGGTAACAGAGTGTTTAAAGCATTTTAATATGTATTCACATAAATTCACCAATCACTGGCTTACATAGGTTTGTCTATCTGTACAGTGTCAATGGTACTACCCATTAAGTTGTTTTACTGCAAAGGAAATAGGACCAACTCAAAGGTAAAGAATTAGGAAATAATGATAATATTTCATTATTCAGATGCCCTTATTGAGCACCTTCTCTCTTGTGCAAAGAGCTGTAAATATATTGTGATATTCAATCCTCACCCAAAAACAAAACAAAACAAAAACCTCTGATGTATTTGTAATTGTAATCAGTTTATGATGAAGAGACCGAGACTCGGGGAACTTAAAAGTACCTTACCCCAAATCGTACAGCTTATGAGGAGCAGAGTTGTGTTTACAGATTAGATCTACCTGACACCAAAGTTCAAGATCTTCCCATTGTGAACAGAGTAGCTAATTTAAAACCAAAGTTTAGTTTCTGATTTCAGCCTCTTCCTTTCTCATTTAATCTTTATAAAAGCTGTTACTGAGTAACAAACCTGATTTGTTTTACACTTTTCCTCTGTCACCTCTCCTTTTCAATCAAAATGACGTACAGTTCTTACACTCTCTCTGAGTAATCTACAGTCGACCATATTTCCACAAGTATATAATATGTCAGGTCATTTTCTAAGTGCCTGTCAATTCCAGAGTATCTTTGTGAAGTTGAAACATGTCACAGTTTAACAGTGGGACCAATCCATCCCTAACCAATATCTTTATATATATATATATATATATATATATACACACACACACACACACACACACATACACACACATATATATATCTGGATTCTGGAACCCTTTACCTGCCTCCCATGGGTAACTTGGTATATGAAAAGCATTCTAAGGAGACATGTAGAGGAAAGAGATATGCCAGTACCATTCATCCTTATTACATATCATTCAGAGTTGATTATGCAGTAGACCCTTGTGATTCACCATTTCCATCATTCTACTTTTCACATGCAGTTCCAAAGGTCTAAGATCTGAGAAACAGTAGTGATTATAAGCACAAATTTTAGAATAAAACATGGGTCTGAAATCCTCAAGCCTCAGTCTCTTCATCCATAAATTGGGGACCATAATAGTGTTTTTCTCACATAGTTGTGAGAATTAAATGCAATATTGCATGTAAAGCACAAAGTACAATATCAAGCACATACTAATCTCTCCATGAGTGTTAGAAGGTATCATTATCATTTGACTACTGTAATTAGCCATTTGCCAATAAACAAATTTATTTTCATTGAGCATAATTTGGGAGCATGTTAATTAGCTGGGGAAACTAGTCATGGCCACTATGTATCAACTTACAGAATAGATTGGGTGAACTCTCAAAATATATATATTTTTTTTTCATAGCTCTGGATATGAGTTTGAGTTTGTTTTTTTCCTATCATCCATATATATTTATGGTGAAAATTGTGTTATTTTGGAAATCACAAATTTGGAAATTTGGTGACATTGACCTCTCTAAAATCTGATGAAAGCAGGGTAAAATCTCTCATTATCTACAGGATTAATGTCACTCTAAAGCACATATCGCTCACCACCTATTTTTTGTACATTTCACAAGCCATAAATGGTTTTTACATGATTTAAATGGTTGAAAAAATCAAAATAAAACTATTTCTTGACAAGTTAAAATTCGAATCTCAATGACCATAAATAAAATTTTATTGAAACATAGCCACATTTGTTCATTTGTGTATTAGCTGGCTGCTTTCACACTGCAATGGCAGAGTTGAGTGATTGCATTGGAAACCTTATGGTTTACAAAGTCGAAAACAGTTACTCTGTGGCCTTTGCAGAAAAAGTTTGCTGATTCCTAATTAAGAGGGATGAAGTGTTCCGTGCATACATGACACATTTCCCTCCTTATGATATTTGCCAGGTATTTTTATGGACCAGGAAACTAATTAGCCAATATCAAAACCACTGAAGGTCAAAACTGAATTTGCTACAGATTTTTAGTGCAAGGGATACAGAAAGTCCCCAGGCTTTCAATACAGCTTGGGAGTGCCATACCTGAGGAACAGAGAGGAATCAGAGGTTGACTGGGTTACTAAAACTACAGCTCAGTTCAATGCGTGATTGGATTGAGATGCTAAGCCCTTCACCCTTCCTAAAAGAGGGAAAGGGTTCCATAGCAGGTAGAAAATATCATGTGGAGTTTCTCCAGTTCTTTGATACAGTAGCCACCATACAAACAAAATACTAGTCATATAAAGAGGCAGGGAGATATGCCTGACAATCAAAAGAGGAAAAAATAACAGACCCACAGATGATCTAAATATTGAAGTTAGCAGAAAAGGAACTGTGATCAATATCTTAAATAGAAAACACAATGAACAAAATGGATGAAAGGATTGAGAATTTCACAGAAAAATTGGTATCTATTAAAAAATCAAGTATATATTCCTGAAGTGAAAAATTTAGTGCCTGAAATTAACTCATTGGATGGGTCTCACAGCTGACTAAATGCAGGGGTGGACAAAAATAGGTTTACAGTTGAGAATATGGAAAACACAGAGTTTATTCTTATATTATTACTTGCTAATTATTGTATTATTTTTTCATACTAGCAACTGTAAACCTACTTTTGCTCACCCCTGTACAAGGGAGGACAGAAATAATGAACTCAAATAGAGGTCAATAGAAAAGAGCCCAACTGAAGCAGAGAGAGCAAAAAGAATGGGAAGACTAGAACAAAGTATGAGAAAGTATTTTGTAGTGACTAGTATGTTTAAGTATTCCAATTACTGAGGACCTGAATGCTGGATATCATTCCAATTTTATACAAAAGAAACAAAAACAGAATTTCTAACACTTTTAACTTCACTCAGCAATTTACTGATCTGTCCCATTTTGTGTAATATAAGTGAGATGATATGTAAACTAAATTATTAGTCAACAGATATCACTAATGGCTATTTGTGACAATAACTCATCGCTGTTTTAAAATTTTAAACATCTTTATTCCTTTCCTGTTTTAACCCTTTTTTAAAAAGCCTGCTAAAAACTTTATGCATAAAGTGTTTCTTATTAGAGATAAAAAATAAGGAAGTACAAAGAAGCACATTATAATGACGGAGATTAAGATTCAAGATGACTTTTATGACAGCTAATCCTTTGGGAGGATAGAGAACCCTTGATCAGTTCAAGGGATGAAGAAATTTATAAGAGAGGAGATATAAGCCTTAATTACTCAGAAAATAATGAGAATGAATCTTTTTAAAAAGCAGGAATAAAATTACATAGGCTAACTGGTTCTAAACCAGAGGGATCCACATCACAATTATTTGAGGTGTTTTTTTTTGTTTTCTAAAATTCACTCAAACTAAGAAATATAATTCAAAATCTCCAGTGGTGAGGCCTCTAAGCAGGTGATTATAGGAAAAGCTCCATAGGTCAGTGATAGCGAACCTTTTGAGCTCGGCGTGTCAGCATTTTGAAAAACCCTAACTTAACTCTGGTGCCGTGTCACATATAGAAATTTTTTTATATTTGCAACCATAGTAAAACAAAGATGTATATTTTTGATATTTATGTTATATATTTAAATGCCATTTAACAACGAAAAATCAACCAAAAAAATGAGTTCGCGTGTCACCTCTGACACGCGTGTCATAGGTTCGCCATCACTGCCATAGGGAATTCTCAGTGCATATTCCTCTATTTAATAATGTCTGACATAAGCTATAGGTAAATTAAAAATTTGAAACCTGTCAACAAATTTTGAGAAGTGGCAACCTAAAGGTAAAGGGGCTTTTCAAATGTATCTGAGCTGAATCTTTGACTAGACTTTGGACAAGAACATAAATTGAGAAAATAAATAGAAGTGTTAGAGAACTTAGTTTATGGCATTTTAAGCAAATTAGACACATTCAGACTTATATAAAATATTTGTTACATGCTTATTATAGTATGCCTGATAAAACTATTTCCTAGTACACTTTTTACTGGCACCGAGCAAAGGCTGCCACAAGATGGCAATAAAGATACATTTGGGAAGGGAGCAGGGAGAACCACAACGTTTTTTGTATGCTATGGACCTCTTCTCAGAATATGTTTTTTAATGAATTAAATAAAATACATAGTAATATATGACCTTCCTTAAATGTATTAACCAACAATATATAACAAAATATCTAATAAACGCCAGTTTTGAAGTTGTTGTAAGTGTAAATATTTTAAGATAACTACAACTGCAGTGTGATATGAAAATATCTGTGATTTCTATTAGTGACAGAATCTAAGATACTGTTAATATTATTTTGGTTTGTTTCCTACATTCATTATTGAAGTAAATGTCAATTTTTAATCAGAGGTTAATGAAAGTAAAGATAAATTCCCCCCATCCAAGTTCATAGATCACAGGAATTCTATCCACAGACCCCCTAAACTTAAGCACTGCATTCTATGGAAAACTGTATTAGTTCTATGGGTAGTGATTACTAATGATCTAGTTGTTCGTAATACTTTTGCTGGTGAAGTTACATATAGGTATGTCATTTTTCTAAAATGACAGGGGTAAAATAAATCATTGTATATACATTTATTTCTTATCTTTGTTTTCACCATAAAACTGGAAATTAAATGTCTGGGGGGGGTATATTTCCAAAATGTAGTAAAATCATTTAAAAACCAATCAGATTTTGAAAAACATATTTAAAATAAAAACTTTCTCAAAATATTTTTTCTGATGTCACAAAGAAAATATAAAAGTAGTTCTCTCTTGCCTACTTAACACACACAGAGTATTATATATAGAACTTTGTGCACATTATTATATTGAATACTAAAAATAATTATATGACATTGTTCCTCTAATCTCCATTTACTGAAGAGCTAGGGTTGTTGTGTTGGGGATCAGGTAAACCCGGCTTCATTCGTTACTCCACCACTTATCAGCTGAGTGACATTAATCAAGTTTCTTAACATCTCTAAATTAAAATTTCCCTATCTGTAAAACAAATATAATATAAATGTATCATCTATCTCTTGGTGGTGTTCAGAGACAATGCATGAAAATAACATAGCATCCTGCCTGGCACACCGTCAGCTGATCAAAATCACCAGTGGTATACACATTGCCAAATCCAGGAATCAGGAATCCATTCTCAATCCCACCTCACGCGGTCCATCAGTAGCTTTTAACACAGGTTATTACTCCCTCCTCCTTGAAACAGTCTCTTCACTTGGCCTTTGGGATACCACTTGCTCTTGGTTTTCTTACTTCACTAACTGGCTGTTCCTTTTTAGTCTTCTCTGCTATATTCTCCTAATCTTCTTAACTTCAAAAAATTGGAGTATCCAAATGGCTCAATGCTTAGAGCTCTTCTCTGAGGCTCTAGATCAGTGGTTCTCAACCTGTGGGTCGCGACCTCTTTGGGGGTCGAACGACCCTTTCACAGGGGTCGCCTAAGACCATCCATCAGAAAACACATATATAATTACATATTGTTTTGTGATTAGTCACTATGCTTTAATTATGTTCAATTTGTAACAATGAAAATACATCCTGCATATCAGATATTTACATTATGATTCATAACAGTAGCAAAATTACAGTTATGAAGTAGCAACGAAAATAATTTTATGGTTGGGGGTCACCACAGCATAAAGGGTCGCGGCATTAGGAAGGTTGAGAACCACTGCTCTAGATGATCTCATGTAGTCCCATAATTTTAGATACTGCATTTAGGCTAGGATTGTGAAATTTATAAACCAGCCCAGACCTCTCCTGAACTCTATAGATTCACATTGCTAGCTGCTTAGTCAACATCTCTACATCTTTAGATGACTACTTAGGAGTTCAAATTTAACATATCCAAAGCTTAACACTTCATTTGCCTTCCCCCAAATATGCTTCTCCCACATTTTTCCCTATCTCAATAAATGTCAACTCCATTCTTGCAGTTTTCTAAGTTACAGTCTCTCTCACACAACATATTAATCAATTTAGGAAATCCTGTCCATTTTACCATAGGACTTTCTCCATAACCCAGTCCCTTTCTGCCACCTTCACTGCTACTGCCCTGATTAAAGCCAATAGCATCTTTCTCCTGGTGTACTGAAATAGCTTCCTAAATGGTCTCCCTTCTTTCCCCCTTTTCCCCCTATAGTCTCTTCTCCCTATAGCTAAGAGTGATCTTCAAACAAACCATATCATGCCACTCCTCTGCTCAAAACTGCCTAGTAGCTTTTCCTCTAACTTAAAATAAAAAAGAAAACACTATTATGGCCTTTTGTGTCGTAGCATTCCATTGTTTTCTGAACATGTCTCTTATCACTCTCACTGCACCCACCATCACCACATCTTGCCACCTCTGTTTCAGCCCTATTGGCCATTTTGTGGTTACTCAGACATGCCTCAGGTATATTATACTTGCTCTGTTCTCCTCCTATAAGTCATTTCCAGGCTCACACCCTTATCTCCTTCAATTACACTTTTCTAGAAAGATTTCCCTGGCCACCCTATTTAAGATTGCAAATTACCTAGGTACTCCATATGCCCCTCCTGTTTTATTTTTCTGCGTAGTGTTTACTGACATATTATTTATTTTACTTAATTATCGGTTTTACCCAACTTGAATGTTATGTCTATATTGGGGGAGATTTTTAACTTTTTCCCCCACTGATGTATTCCTAGTACCAACAATAAATTGTTGAATGAATGACTAATTTTTTTTTCATTTTAATACTTTACCAGGTGCTACACAGTTTATGCCTGACCCCAAGCTCATGGATCATGGACAGTCCCATCCAGAAGATGTAGATATGTACAGCACTAGAAGCTGAAATAGTCTACATAAACAATTACAACATGTGTGAAGTTCCAAATGATAATGAAAGAAATGTAATGGGTAATTGTGATGCATAGAGCAGAACTTAAAGCAAATTTATCCCATACATCTTCTAATGTATGGTTTGACCAATCAAGTAAGTGATTAAAACACAAACAGAAAATACAATCGAAACAATATTAAATGATTGGTGAAGAGGCAGAGGGAGTAGTATTAAGATGCATTTGATGACGTAAGGGTGTTTATAAACAAAAAATAGAGTAAATATGTGAACAATTATGAGACTAAGATCTGAAAAAATATGTATGTACTTATACACACATATATTTGCTTTAGCTTTTTCTCACTATCAATTCCCAACTTGTGACATTAATGTCAGCTAAATTAGAATGGTTTGTGGAAGGATATATTCTCTATCCTTCTCTTTTTTCATTTCCCAGAGCAGGAATAAAATATCCATATTTTATGACACTTGGGATTGGCTTTGTCTCTTTGTTTTATTAATGTTGATTTCTCTTAAATGTCCAAAAACACCTGTAACTATTTAGGAAGACCATATGCTCCATGGGACCTCCAATACTGCTTAGCAGACCTTCTACCGGTTCCTAGGTGGTTTCCTATTCTGTTCTCCTGGAGAGGTTATTACAGACCTTTTGTTCTCAAGTTTCCTATACCTGCCAAAGATGACTGTGTTTTCTAATACATGGAGGGAAAAAAAAACAACATAAGTTATTAGTCATGACCATTCACAACTTTTTCCCATCTACCTTTAAGACTTACCTCTTTTCAGCCATGTCATCCCCCTTTCTAAGGCTAATGCTTCTATTTGGGTTCCTGTTCTCATTCCTTCTTTTTTTTTTTCCAGTACCATGTTATATCTTCAGTCTTTGGTTTCTCTTTTCACTCAGTTATTCCCCCTCAACCTCTAAATAACTTCTGATCTTCATTATCTAAAAAAAAAAAACAAAAAATAAAAAAACAGTAACAAAAACTTTTCCCTAACCTTGCCTTTATTCTTGAACTACCTTTTCTTTCTCTAATTGTCATATTTCATTAAAATTAATTAATGTCACTTTCTTACTTCCTCACTATCAATTCCTAACTTATGTCATCCTGACCTTTATACTTACTTGAATTTTCTGTAATTATTCACTATTCATTGACCACTCTCTCTTTGAAACACACTCCTTCCCTGTGCTCTCTGTCATTCCTGCTTCTCTTGTTATTCTTTATTCTTCTCTTGCTCTGAATCCGTTAAATGCCTAGGCTTCTCAGGTTATATTCCTAGTTTTCTTTTTCTCATTCAATATGCATTCTAATTTTCTCGTTTATTAGTCCTCACCCAAGGATATATTTTCTACTTACTTTTAGAGAGAGGTGAGGGTATGAGAGGGAGAGGGAGACTGGGATGGAGGAAGAAGGAATTATTTATTAGTTGTATCTATCTTACATCCCATAGATGTCCCCAATGTCAAAATGCCTTAGACTAAATTACTCTGCCTCTCTCTCCATATTTCTGTTTCCCAGATCTATTCTACCTTCTCTCCTTGCTCTCCTTGCAGTCTTCATCATCACTTTACTAAATTATTACAGTAGCCTTCTGGTTAATCTGCCTGCTGTCAGTCTTGCTCTCTGTCACTTCAGAATGTGTTTTTGCTTGGAAGCAATAATAAACCAATTAATAGTAGCTTAAATAAATGAGAGTGTATTTAAAGTCTAGAATTAGGCAGTACAGAGTTGGTACAGGAATTCATTGGTGCCATCAAGGATCTGGACATTTTTTCTTTCCACTCTGGTCTTTAGCATATTGATTTGTAACCTCATGTTCACAAAATGGCTATTGTACCTCTGGTAAACACCTACACATTCAAAGTAGGAAGAAGGGTTAGGACAAACTGTGCACCAGATGCTTCTGACCCCCATTTATCAGAAAAGTAAATGCTTTATTAGAACCCCTCTCAGAAGGCTTTTCTCTATATCTTGACTAGAGCTTGCCATATAGCCACAACAAAGGTGACGCAAAGGCCAAAACCAGTTTGGCTCAGTGGATAGAGCGTCGGCCTGCGGACTGAAAGGTCCCAGGTTCAATTCCGGTCAAGGGCATGTACCTGGGTTGCGGGCACATCCCCAGTGGGAAATGTGCAGGAGGCAGCTGATCGATGTTTCTCTCTCATCGATGTTTCTGGCTCTATCTCTCTCCCTTCCTCTCTGTAAAAAATCAATAAAATATATTTTAAAAAAAAGGTGACGCAAAGGAGATTGGCAAATCATTTGTCTTCTATGATAAGGCAAGGGAGAAGGGATTTGGAATAGGTGTTGAGTTTGAGCTAACACACAGTGTCTGTTACCCTATTCTTCGAACCTGTCATATTATGACATAGTTGTCTTTCTTACTATTATACATTGTCTTTTGGAAATCTTCAGTCCCTCATCATTGCCTACAGGATCAAATCAAGACTCCTTAGCATGCATACAAGGTTCTTCATATATGATACCAGCTCAACTTTAATCCTATCTTCCCTCTCCCCACCACACTACTGCCAATGTATGTTATAGTTTTTGTATAGCATACCACTTGCTTCTTGAACATGCTCTGCTCTTTTATTCTTCTTTCTCTCTCTCTCTCTCTCTCTCTCTCTCTCTCTCTCTCTCTCTCTCTCTCCATATGCTGGTGCCTCCTCTTAGAATTTTTTTTTCTGTCTCATCCTGTTCCATATTCCATCTTCCTCATCTTTCAAACCCAGTTTCGGTGTCATTGTTCTGCAAGGTAGGATTTAGATGCTCTCTCTTGTACATTCTCATACACTTTGTACTTACAGCTGTGAGAAAATAAAATCTCACTATACAACTTAATATAAAACTAAAACTAGTATTTTTTTCACAGATAAGGCTCCACTTGGTACCTACTTGTAGGTATGAGACAATCATCTTTGTGTAGTTTTTATGCCCGTAACACACCCTGGTACATAGTAGGAACTCACATTTTGTACCATGCTGGTTGCAATACAGGATGCAAAAAATAATTATAATTCTATCAAAGGACTTATATTCTACTTGAAAGGATGGAAACATATAGAAGTACAGTGATATGAGTAGTATCTCCCCTTAGTATAACCAAAGAGCTACAGATGATCAAAGATGGAATGTAGTTCTGAGATCATGTCAAGGTGGAGAAGCAGTTCACTTACTAGTTTTTTATAAGTCATGTCTTCAACATTTAGCTAAAGTATTTTAAATGCTTTTTTTGTACTTCAGATCTGTTTATAATCAAACATCTATATTTCATGAAATCTAAGACACATTATCTCTAATAAAAAGTGCTGCCAGTTATTATACTTATTCCAATTTCAGATATGTTAAGATGTAAAAATAGAAGCATCTTAAATTTAGTGAGATATGGTAAGTAAAAAATATCCTAAAGCCAAATATAAGTGATTTTTGAATTATGTGCTCTTTTGGATCATCAACTCTGCCACTAGTTTTAGTTTGGTAATGGAGAGGTGACTGAATTGCAACATCTGTTTCAGAGTGAAAAATTCATTAAACTACAGCTTAATCACTTGCTCTTTTGTACAACACTCAGAGGCAAACTGCTGTTGGACTCAGTTGAAATTGAAATGTTGGAGCCTATGTTGGAACAAGTTATGATGAGTCCTCTTTCACTCTTCCCTTGCTGTGTACAGTAGTTTTTCTTTGTTAATCCTGAAAAGATACCAGCACTCCCTGAAGACAGCACTCCATAGACACAGACAACAGCATGGTGATAACCAGGGGGGATAAATGGTGATGGAGACATGACTTTGGGTGGTGAAAATACAATACAATATAAAGATTATGTATTATAGGATTATATATGTGAAACCTATGTAATTTTATTAACCAATATCATCCCCATAAATTCCATAAAAAAGAAAAAAGATATGTAAAATTTAAAAATGGAAGCTGAATAATTCCATTTAACATGTTACTTGCTTCAGTTAAAAGAAATGAAATGTGAAACCGTATATCTAGTTGTTATATATTCTTAACTAGAGGCCCGTTGCACAAAGAGATTCGTGCAATAGGCCTTCCTTCCCCTGGCTGCTGGCACCGGTTTTCCTCCGGCACCTGGGACCCAGGCCTTCGCTCTGGAGGGAGACTTCAGTCTTCACAGCTCCGGCCGGAGCCGCCTTCAAGCCTTCGCTGCTCCAGCCGGAGCCGCCTTCAAGCCGTCGCTGCCCCGCCTGGCCGCCCCGGGTCGCAGATAGCAGGCCCGGATGGCAGCAGGGCAGGTGGGGTGGTGCTGTCCCTCTCCACCATCCCGGGTGGCAAATAGCAGGCCCGTATGGCGGCAGGGCAGGCGGAATGGTGCTGTCCTGCCCTGCCTGCAGTATGCAAATTAGCCACCATCTTTGTTGGTGGTTAATTTGCATATTGTGCTGATTAGCCAATGGGAGGCATAGCAAAGGTATGGTCAATTACCATGTTTGTCTATTATTAGATAGGATAGCTTGCCTTGAAACTCATCTCATGAATGTTTTTTATATATCTTTTTCCTAATTGGAAATGTAGTTCCAAAGGTAATGGAAAAGATTTTGAATTTATCTTAATGATCAATGGAGAGGAAATCAGTCCTATCACTATCATCATAGCAGAGTATATTTATTAATTTCTAGACAAATCAACTCAAAATCTAAAAGTATTTTGTCAAGATAAAAGTATAGCTATAACAACGTGGCTTATTCAAACCTTGATGAGAACTAATAAAATACTATTCTAATCTGATTGAATCTTCACCTCATACAAGGATAAGTAGGACAATGATCAAGCTCATAAAATAGATATGAGTTACATTAACTTAAATATTATACTAAAGCCCTATCTCTATTCCTTAATTTAAAATATACTATTTTAATTTATAAAGCATAAATAATAATGTAAGTATAGTTTGACTTCAGTAAGGTTATATGACATAAAAGTCCTCTATGTAACTTGCCAATCCGGATGTTGTATGTAAAATAGTATGTGGTAAATCTATAGGTCACTTTGACTAAGGAGAGGGAAGAGCCAGTATAAAGGAAATAATGCTTTGAATTTAGAATGTTTTTCTTCCAAAAGAATATCTTTGTGTTTTCTAAACTATTAAGGTAATAAAATCTCACTGGACAAAATTGCAAACAATACAGAAATGTATAATGAAGAAGGTTTAAGTCCCATATAATACAAACTTTAAGAGATAAGCCATCTTTTAACAGTGCACAATATATTCCTCCAATTTTTTCTATACATACACAAACATAAGTACATACCACATATTAAAAAAAAAGAAATCAACAAATGACAAGTGCTGGTAAGAATGTGGAGAAAAGGGAACCCTAGTACACTGCTGGTGGGAATGCAGACTGGTGCAGTCACTATGGAAACCATTATGGAGTTTTCTCAAAAAATTAAATATGGAACTGCCACTTGACCCAGTGACCCCACTTCTAGGA